CCTATATGATTTTACTAACCAATACTTGAAACCTATATGATTTTACTAACCAATGTCACCCCAATAAATGTAATTTAAAAAGTTAAATAAAAAAAGGTGTAGCCAAGATTGGAGCTCAGATAGGCTGTCTTGAAGTCCATGCTCTTAACTGTTAAACTATTTCACACTATATTATACTATGTCATAACTTTATACTATTATGATTCAGATTTGTATCTGGATTGTTACCTCAGGGCAGAATAATACATATTCCTCCAGCTGAGAGAGGCTTCATGTTTTTTTGGTGTATTATAATATATGATAATAGGACATTATAGATGAAAATCACAAAGACCTACATTTCCCAAAAGTTCTACATGCAAATTTGCAATAATAAATCTGCATTAATGTAAGCTTTTCATTTAAAAGACAACTTAACTTTGATGTATGACAAATTACATTAAGACATTAAATCTGTAAGTCATTGTTAAAAAACACACTGCTTATTTTAAGCAAAGAAAATTTTCCAGTCTTTGATATATGTTCTTAGAAACATAAAAATAAAATTTCTTTCCTCAACTGTCCTTTTCCATTTTACACATATTGATCTTTCCATATGTTTTAAATAATGATGAAATTAATAGGAACTGCTTTTAATAAATCCAAATCATAACTCCTTTCATGTCCAAATATTCTGGGGAAGATTGAGGTGAAGAAGTTGCTTAAACATTATGAAGACCTAAGAAGCATCAGAAACAGCTTTAGAAGAAAAGTTGAAAAATGGTGACGAACTTGGAAGGCAACTATGGAAAGGTATTTGCAAGTTGGATGTGGGAGGTACTTCAGTAAGGAGGATTCTGAGTTGGGGTGGGACCAAGGCCAGAGCCCAGGTAAAACAAGAGAGAAGAGAGGACCATGTCCAAGGACTGCTTTATTGACCAACTTGTTAGCTGTAAATCAATGAAAAAGATATACACTGTGGAATAAGCTAGGCCTGCCCGTGACTTCCAATACCCTTTTAAAAATATGTAGCACTGGGCAAAAGTTCTCAGTATTTTTTGAACCTTAGTTATTTATACAATGGGTCATGATATTCATCTAACTGAACTGCAGAGAAGAATCAATGGGACAACATCACGCAGTTCCCAGCAGAGTCTGGCATTGCAGGTGCTGGGGAAACAAAGACATCCACCCCCACCAGCCCACCAGACACAAGGCAGCCAGGTAGCGGGAAGCCAAATGGTAGACCCCTTCACAGGCAGGCTGGGCAGTCCCACAAGTCACCCCAAATTTTGTTCATAATTTATAGCTATTTTGAAAGTCTTTATGATCCTAATTATTTTTCCAAACCAGTAACGTAACAGAATCAAATTTGAAAACTTCTTAGTCGAGGAAAAATAAAGCTATTTCAAAGCATTTTTTCTCATAATAAATCATAAACTCACACTGTGAGAAAATGCTATTTGATAAGGTCATCGTTTTAGCTATTAAATTATTAACTTATTAGAATAGCAAAACTGGTCCAACCAATATCAAAAACAGTTGGTTTGGAATGTACATTTTGAATTCTGGCTATTTGGTATACATATTATTATTATTTTTAAACACAGAAATGGCTAGATTTGTTTACATAATTAATTTGCTATATATTAAATGAAACCAAGATTTTCCATAACTGTATAACAGGACATAATCTGTAAGACATCTATTTCACAAACAGTTGTTTTAATTAATATAGTCTTCAATTACTATAAGTATCCTTATATGTGTAAAAAAGACTTTTAACATCTTAGAGCTTATTTCAAATTCATCACTTTATTAGTCACAACTGACATAACTTTGATACTCTCAGACTGAGGAAAGCATTTGTAAAATGACCGTGTGCACCGTCATGCTCACAGGGCCCTGGGTCTGCGGCAGCTTTAAAGCTCAGTGGTGGTCCTTGAACCACACAGCTGTGAGTCATGCAGACAAGTTTGCCACTTAGAGGCGAAAGGAGGAAATTCACGTTTGATTTTATTTGTAAGACAAAACTAATAAATGTTAAAATTTTTTAAATTATTTGCTATCGCTTATCTTATTCAAAAATAAGAAAACTTTTATAAGGTTCTCTCTGCAGCAACAAAGCCTTTAAGTTCCAGGCTACATAAAAGTGTGGCTCTTTGAGGACTCTCACATGAGGTAAATAAGCCCGAGATGGTACCAGTCACAGGTGCACAGTTTGCCAATTAAAGAATTAAATTTAACTATTTTTTTAGAGTAAAAGATTTATTTTCTTTTAAAAATTAATATAAATGTGTTTCCAGAAGTACATACAAATTCTGGAACAATCACCATGATCTATTTAGACATGTGGACCCACAGTTAAACTAATTATCAGAGATATTTCTTACTTAAATGAGAAAAGTTTCTTTCATTAGAAGGTCTTCTGTGTAATCTTCTTCTGGCAAAGGAATAAAGTTTATTTAGAGTAATTCTGTTTGGCAGACAGTCAGGGCTTCTAAAACATATACCAATAATTGTTAAGGTTAAAGCAAAACAGTCAATTTCAAGCTTCTAATGGCCTAAACAATAGGCAGGTTATAAGATAGAGATTTATGATATTCCTATTTTGTCTTAGAAGTCTGGATGTTGGGAATACTTCTAGCAACGTATTTTACAATGAATGGCAAAAAAAATCTAACTTAACAAAAAACATGGCATGCATTAAAATGTAAAAATGATTTTAAGTATAAAATTTGAAAACTCTTTTTTCTACACTGTAAAATCCTATTTTTTTAAATAATGTTTTGGGCTCTCAATGTTACAATATATTTTTCATTTCATTTTATTGTTTCATTTTTATTCCAACACACTTTAAAATAGAAAGATGATTACTAAACTCACACCTATTTATGTGACTTTCTAGAGAACTCATTCTAGGAATACTAAGTTTTTATTGTTTACTTCAAATTGTTTTTATTAAGTTAGAAGATTCTACAGTTGATTACTATTTCCAAGTAAATTTTTCTCCTAAAAAATCTTAGCAAAACACTGCTTTTAAGTACAGTGCTGTTAACTAAAGCATCCTCTCTTGGCTCTGTCACTGAGGAGTCTCATTCTTATCTGTGAGAGTAAATTATCTTCCTCATTTATACCCCTTTAGTCTTCCACATGCCCTGAGTTACATCACTCTGTAAAAGATGCTTCCACCAGCAATGATGGCTGCAAAATATCTGAGCATGGAGCACAAAGAGTTTTACTTTCACATCTCTATTTCTGTATTTATTTGGGAAATAAGTGAGACTAAGGTCAACCTGATATATAGATGTCTTTTACACACTGCTGAAATTGAAGCAAATATGATAAAGAAAACTCAGTAGTCAATATGGCTAATAAAAACTCAATGATTAAAGTTCAAAGTGTTTATCAGGGAATATACTGCAAGAATTAATTAGGGCCTAAGGGTTGGGAAAGTTCAAGTGCATTCTAAAACAACAAAGAAAAGCTGGTTAATCAGGAGAATGGCCTCTTACATGTATCCGAAGGGTATTAAAAGGTCTGCATGTCGGGCCGACCAAGTGGCGCGTTGGTTAAGAGCTGGCTTGGGACGCCAGAGGGCCCTGGTTCGGATCCCACATATGAGGGCCAGTGACACTGCACTCTACAGCTAAGATGCTGAACAACAGCTCAACCTGGAGCTGGGCTGCAGTAAGTCACCAGCGATGGCAGGTGGGTTGCCATGGGCTACCATGTGTAGCCAGCAGCCAGCGTGAGCAGCCAGCAGCCGCTGTGAGCAGCCGTCCAGAAGCCGGCGACTGATCTGCCTTGCCCAGGAAGAGCGCAATGATGGTGCCAACTTGGTCCAGTAAAGCAACGTCTTCCACAACTAGACTGAAGAACAAAAGGACAGCAACTTGTCTGTTCTCTTTCCCCCAATTCCCCAATAAAAATCTTTAAAAAAAAAAAGGTCTGTATGTCTGCTTCACACATTCAAAGAACAAAAGAAATACAGAAAGGACAGCTACTGGTAGTTCATGAATGATTCAATTTCACTGATAAGTATCTATAATTTAAAGGGTAAATTCTGAAACACTCTCCATACCTCTAATTGGTCAAGAAGACCTAGTGATAAATTTGAATGCCTTGAAATTTCTTGAATCTTTACTATTCCTTCTTGCCTTCTCCAATGCTACCATTTTAGCTCTCATCATTTTAAAAATCTATATTCATTTAACCACTTCTTAATTAATCTCCCTCTCTCCAGGCCCAACCTCTTACTCTGACCTATCACTGTCACATTTTTAAATCCATCCTCCAAACAGAGTCCAGAATAATCTCTGTGAAGTACAAACCAATCACATCACCTGTCTGCTTGATATTCAGAGAGCAAATCAAGACTCAGAGTATTCCTGTCCCTAACTGGCAGGGGACCTCCCAAGGGAGGAAGGCCAGGGGCTGGCCACATCCCACATTGCACACACAAGGTCTACAAGAGGCGCTGTCACTAGGGCCTCCTTTGGCATATCTGTTTCAACTTAATCACCAATCATATTTCTTGTGGGAGAAACTAAAATAATGCCTCATCAAGAAATGTCAGGACCCCTAATTTATGGGTAAGGTGTTCAAAAAAAAAAAATCCTAACTCCTAAAACAAATATTTTCAAACATTTTTAAATTACTAGAGCCATATTCTTTAAACAACATCTAATGTAGAACCTCAACAAAAAGTGGTTGAAATCACATTTTTGAGGTTGACAACACAGCAACACAGGCAGAGGTTAGATCATATAGAATTGTACAGGCCATAGAAGGTAATTCGAATTTTGTTAGTGCAATGTAACGTCAGTGGGAAAAGAGAGATGTGATAAAGTCTGATTTACATTTTTGAAAGACCAATGTTGCTGCTGTGTGTAACAGAATTGAAACTACTGAGAATTTTAGCATTTCTGATGTATTTTTATAAACTCCAATTTAACCTGCAAAAAGTGACATGCACTTTCCAAATAATGGACTACCATGATAAAAGAGTCACAGAATACCTGATCCTCGCTGGTTAATCCCAGGTGCATCACAAGGTAAAAATGCACCAAGAAGTCCGAGTTTGGCAGAACATCCTGGCGTCTGGTCATCATGGCACAGATCAGTTTGTAGGCTTGTAGTTTGCCTTCCTTATATTCATTTGGCAATGTCGTCGCCTGCCAAGGAGATGAAGTTTAAAGATTTAATCAACTCCAGATGCAGAGCATTTCAACATTTCATTTACTTCTCAGTTTTCCGTAAGAGTTGTTCATGGAGATAGATGTGGGACATATTGGCTTTAGTAAGACCCAGCCTGTCTTCGAAACATGTAGTCTTGGGCAATTACATTTTTAAAACTCAATTTCAGAAAGGAAGAGGAAATTACAATAAAGGAATAAACACATATCCACTTGCCTTAAATAGCCATGATGCAAACATTCTGAGTGGTGGAATCAAGACCGGAGGAGATGGAGAAGACTGGTTATCCAGGCTTATTGCTAGATTATCCCGTATCTAATTCACACAGAGGAGAATTTCAGGGAAGACAACACAGTTTATCCCAGTAATTTTTAAATATTGTGTTTCATGGTCATAGCTGCTTCCAATTAAATTTCTGTAAGTTGAGTAAAAACCTACACAATATTTACAAGTTTTTCTCTTATTGTGAGATCTACTGTCTTTTTGAATTGTATGTCTAACTTACTGTATGCGGTTTTAGATTTAATACAAACTAGGGCATTGTTCTTCCTTGAATGTTAATGCCTGGAGATGTCCAAAACTCCAAATGAAAAGGAATGGTTCAACAAGTTATACGGTATAAACAGGAATCATGTTCTTTTTTAAAAAAATATAGTAACATGGGGAAAAATGTATGTTATAAACAAAAATAAAAACCAGATTGAAAATTATATGTACTCTAAGATTCTACTTTTCTAAAAATGTGTTTATCCCTAGAAATAAGAATGTATATTAATATTGATTATCTCTGTGGGATGGTGATATTAATATTCTTCTTAGTATTTTCCTACATTTTCCAAACCATTTCCATGGTGTTATTGTACAATAAAACCAGTACCACTTTTATAAAGAGAGTAATTAAAATTACTGAATAATACATTCTTTAATATCCTATAGTAATATTCTACTTATGCATTAAATTAATTCTTCTGCATTTAGAAAATGATCAAACCATTAAATATTTTTATTTGATAATCAAACATACTTTGTATAAACACCTAACTTTTGTTCCAGGATATGTTCTATAGTGAACTGCAATAGTTTTTATGTTAAACGAGAAATAAATTTTCCCATATTAGAATAAAAGGTAACAGAGCAAGACGTACCTTTGCTAGTTTGTACCAGAGTTCATAGAGGTAGCCAAAAACTTTAGCATGGACCTTGGGTGACTGGATATTATTCACATCTCCGAGGATTCCCAAGATTCTTCGCCACAACACAGCAGCGGATTCTGGGTGCCAACCAGTGAGGTTCCCTCCAGCGATTATGCTACAGTCATCTGCAAGGCATTCACTGCTGTCTATGGATAAAAACATGAGTGTTAACTCTGGAGACACAATCTTGATTTCACCATTAGAATGCTTTTTAAAAATGCAAATTACCTATGTTTGAAAGTTTGTATTCAGAGTAAAATAATTTAAATGAAAAGTAGGAAATAGGTGACCAATCTAAAAGGGTAGAAAATCAGGATCAATGAAGAAAGGTCAAATGGACTTTAATTCTTTAAAAGAAAAAGACAACAACCTAGAGATGACCAAACAATTCCTGGAGACCCGGCGAAGTGTTTTCTAAAGCAGGGGAGGAGGAGAAGAACTTGAGTAGGATGGGTAGGGAACAGAGCCCTGAAAAATATTGGGTTGTCGGAAAAGTCATGACACATTTTTGCAATGAAAAACAGAAAAAATACATCATGACTTTCCTGACAACCCAATAGGTAGCCAGGGGAGGCTTCATTGCTGGGGTGGCATTTACAGTGGTTCTTATTGTTAACTCAGTTTTATTAGGGGTATAATTTGCTTACAGTAAATTTTATCCCTTTTAGATTCAATAAGTTTTAAGAAATGTATACAATCCTGTAACAGTCACCATTAACTGAAACCATACTTGAAATATGGAAGAGCCTCATCATAACAAAAGTGCTTTTATAGTCAGTCTCTTTCCCCTATTCTATGCCCCACGCAACCACTGCTGGTTCTGTCCTTATATTTTTGCCTTTTCCAAAATGTCATATAAATGGAATCCTACAGTGTGTAGCTTTTCTGTCTGGTTTCTTTAACTATGCAAAACACATTTCAGATTCATCCATGTAGTTGTGTGCATAAGTCTGTTCTTTCATGCTATAAATTAATATTCCATTTTATGGATGTTATCAAAGTTTGTTTATCCATTCACTTGTTGAAAGACATTTAGATAGTTTCCTGGTTTTGGTGATTACAAATAAAGTGACCATAAACATTTATGTACAGGTTTTTGTGTGAACATGTTTACATTTCTCTTTTGTCAGACCAGAACCAAAAATGGCACATATTATTTGTTTGTTTATTCCTTCCTTTGTAGACTGTATCTTCTAGTGGATGACTGGGAAAAAGGTACGCCCTCACATATCTGAAAGAGTCTGTTCCTAATCTGTAATGCATAGTATGGTTGGATATAGAATCCTGTGCTGGAAAGGCTCTGCCACTTTCTAACAGTATCCTTTGTAATTTCAAAGTCAGCATCACTCTGGTATTTGATATTTTTTAATGAAAAATTGTCAACTTGGGAAATTTTAGTATCCTGTGTTTGCACCCAGTATTCTGAAGACTCATAATGTGCCTTGGTATTATTTATTTTCAACCACTGTTTGGGATTCATTGGGTCCTTTCAGTTACAATACTAATATTCTTCAATTTGGGGAAATTTCATTTAATTATTTCATTGATAATTTCCTCTCTTATATTTTTTCTATCTCTTTCTCAACCTATTAAAGGTTTAACGTCTTACATAGGTCCTAATTTTCTTATCTTTTCACTCCTATTTCCCATCTTTTTTGGTTTTGTTCTACTTCATAAATGCAAAGTGGATGTCTCTGACTTTCTCTTCCAACTCATCTATTGACTTCATTTTATTTCTGCTGTCATACTTTTAATATCCAAAAGCCATTTCTTATACTCGCTGTACATTTTTATATTCTTGTTTCTTGCAATGTAACACAGTTTTAAATTTTTCTTTCTGTGGTTTCTTCTTCTTTTAAGATGTGCTCCACCCTGCCCCAATTCCATATTCTTGTATTTGTCTCATTTTCATACTAGGTATCTTCTTCAAATGGCTGGGGAGCCTTGGCTCTCTGCTCATATTTAAGAATGGTCCACAAAAGGGCTGAATGGAAGCTTAGTCCATAGGTATAGTCTTTGGTGAGTTTCACCATATTCTTGCAGAACCTCAGGTATACGAGGTGTGATCAAACAATACAGTGAATGTTTAAACAAAAAAAGTAATTACAGTAAAAGACACATTGTCACTAATCCCCCTCACAATACTCCCTTTCACTTTGGACACACTTATCCCATTGTTCTTGCCACTTTCTGGAGCAGTTCTGGAAGTCCTCTTTTGATTGTCTTTAGTTGCGCTGTCCTGGCTGCCTCGATGTCCTGAAATCATTTTGATTTTGGGGAAGAGCCAGAAGTCACATGGTGCCAGATCTGGTAAATAAGGTGGATGAACACACACCGTAATGTTTTTTACAGAAATTGCTGTATACCAGAAGTGATGCATGACATGGAGCATTGTCATGATGGAGGATGATTTATGGCACATTAAAACACACCTTCTATCAACCATAGCTCACACCTGACTGGCTGCACTGAACAAGTTGAAACTTGTCACACACTGTTACTAAGGTTCGATGCGCCACTTCCCATATTAAAGATCTCTGCCTTTCCATTGGATGGCACTCGGCAGCAGCATTCACCGTAGTTTTTTTATCATAACGGAAAAGGCTCCGTGTCACATATCGTTTCTGGTATGGCAATTTCTGTCAAATAAAAACATAATGGTATGTCCTCACCCACTTTATTCACTGGATCTGGCATGGTGCAACTTCTGGCTCTTCCCCAAAGTCAAAATGACCATGAAAGGTAAACATTTTGAATCGTTTCATCCACGACAGCGCAACTAAAGACACTCATGAAAAGAAGACTTCCAGAACTGCTTCAGAAAGTGGCAAGAACGATGGGATAAGTGTGTTCATAGCAAGGGGGAGTATTTTGAGGGGAATTAATGGTGATGTGTCTTTTATTGAAATAAATTTTTTTTTACTTAAACGTTCACTGTATTGTTTGATCACACCTCGTACATGTCTTTAGGGCTGTTTTTTTTCTAGAACTCACATTTCAAAAGGAAGGCTCTTTCCTGCTGAGAGAGTTTATAAACTCTTATTTAGTTCCTTTGTTTTGAAGATAGCACCTCTACATTCAGCTGTGCGTTGGTGGTCACTCCAGGCCGGAAGCCTCTGAATTTATTCTATCTTCTGTTGTGAAGCGCTAACTACTTCTTAAATAGACTTACAGTTGTCATGTTTTTAACTCCACCATTACCTCCTACTTCTGGAGCTACTTCGTGTGGCAATTTTCTAACCTTTTTAGGAAGCCTGAAATAATTATAGTCAGGTTGCTTCTTGGCTTTCTCCACTACTGTCGTAGGATTCGGTGTATGTACTCAGGTCTGTCGAGTCCTTTACATGTCATATATCTGCAATTTCCAAAAGTTGTTTGTAGCTTCTAGTCAAGAAGGCAGAATAGGTAAATGCTGTGTTCGCTCCTCTCACAACTACATCAAAATTATAATGCAAGTACAGAACAATCATCATTATGAATCACTTGAGGGCTGGCCGAGTGGCACGTTGGTTAAGAGCTGGCTTGGGACCCGGTTCGGATCCCACACATGAGGGCCAGTGACACTGCCCTCCACAGCTAAGATGCTCAACAACAGCTCAACCTGGAGCTGGGCTGCCGTGAGTCGCCAGCGACAGCGTAGGCTGCAGCCCTTGCTGCAGTGGATTGCCATAGGCTACCGTGTGCAGCCAGCAGCCAGCGTGAGTGGCCAGCAGCCACAGTGAGCGGCCGTCCAGAAGCCGGCAACTGATCTGCCTCGCCCGGGAAGAGCGCAATGATGGTGCCAACTTGGGCCAGTGAAGCACGTCCTCCACAACCAGATTGAAGAACAAAAAGGACAGCAACTTGTCTGTTCCCTTTCCCCCAATTCCCCAATAATAAAAATCTAAAAAAACAAAAACAAAAAAAAACACTTGAAGTCTAGCTGAACAGAAATCCTATAACTAAGGACATACAGAAGCCATGTCGAGACTGGTAGGAGGGGCAGAGAAGTGAAGCTGACCCCACACCCAAGTGGTGGTTAAAAATCAACAGGGATACTTCAGCTTTGGAGGTCCCCCTTGTGGAGAGAGGGATCCCAGCCCTACACCGGGCTGCCCAGCCCAGGGTTCTAGTGCTGGGAAGAAAAGTCCACACAACTTATGGCTGTGAAAACCAGTGAAGATTGTGGCTGAGTGAGACAGAGGGCTGCTGGAGCCCCAAGTAGTCCTTTTAAAGGGCTCATGCTAGAACTTACTGACAGACTCACTTATGCTGAGCTCCAGCTCTCAGGCAGCCTGAAAGGTGCCAGGGATAAATGGGAAGGAACTGAATTACCTGGCTTTAGGGTGAGAGATAGATAAGCAGCTTTCTCCCAGACAGATGCTGGCAGAAGCCACTGTTCCTTTGATGAGTCCTCTCCCAAACCAGTTGGCACTCGCAAGAAGGTTCCATATCTGAGACTCCATCAAGCTAGCTAACCCTGTTTGCTTCGCCATGGTGATTCCCTGAGACCCCGCCCCATCCAATTTGTGGGCCCACCCAAGCCTCTTCCAGAGGCTTTTTCATACAAATAGCCTGTCTTGGATCATGTTGCAGACTTTCCTGAAATCTCTCAAAGGTTCATAAACACCAAACAAGCAGCATCTGGCCTCAGCATGCCCCCTATGTCTTGCTAAGCAGTGTGAAGCCCAGCACTAACAGCAGCCAGCCTCAGTTCCCAGCTTGGCCTCTCCCAGGCACCTCCAAGCCCAGCACAAGTGGCAACCATCTGCAGATCACCCTTATAGCTCATATCGAGCGGCCCCAGGCAGGCCACAGGAAGCAGCTGATGTTGGCCTGCACAAGAGCCCCTTCCCAAGAGGCCCCATAACCAACACATCCAGTCACTAGCTTCAGACCACACCAGAGTACCACCCAACCACCCCCACAAACAATGCACTAAAAGGACAGGCTGGACAGGAACCAGAGCCTTGCTAAAGCAAATCGTACTCCACAGGGTCAGCCCCTGCACAATGGTTCCTCTACTGTAGTCACGAACAATCCTCACAACCAATCAGCCTAAGTGTCCATCCCTCCCACTGACATGGCAACAGCAATTCAGGCTCAACTATACAATAGGAGGGCACACACAGGGGACATACCTGGAACACCTGGCTCAGGTGAACAG